TTTTGAGCGATTTATCTTGAGTTTATCAGATAAGCAGTTGTTGAATCAATTGAAAGCTAACAAGAACACAGCAGCTGTTTGACTTTCATCGCTTGGTATTTCTCACAGGTTTTGTATTGCTTACACTTGACTAGTTTTCTGTTTAATCTCTTGATAACAGATTTGCATAAATCACAGTATTGGTACTATCTGATTATTCATAACTACTGGTATGGAAGACTCAACAGCTCAAGGGTTATGTGTCTTATCTAAATCTTTGTTTGTTTGAGTTCATAACTTCGATTCACCTTTCACCATCTGATTGATTTTGATTGTCTTTATGAAGTAGTGTTATGCATTCTCTTGAACTTGAGACCATTAACAGGCTGGATTTTGGAAATTACCATCATTGATTGTAGAAGTTGATTCAGTTGCAGGTGATGAGTTTCTGGTTATTACAATTGTAGCAGCTAATTCGAGCCATCAATATTTCTGTTATATCAAGGAACCAGAGCAGCGGATAATCACTGGTCTTGAACGGTGTTGAAGGATAGAAGATTGAGGTTTCGTCCAGATTATTGCTAGCACAGCTGTTCATTCGGTGTAAAGCAGATTCCGATACCGAAGCTTTTGATAGTATTGCAGCTCTACCTGGAAGTGTTTTGCACTCTTCCTCGGGCTCATCAGCATAGAACTCCTTCCAACAACAACCATTTGAATTGACCAAGAATTTCATTTAGTGTAATTCGTATTTGGCTCATATATTAGAATTTTGTTTTAGGCGTAACTTTGATTGGTTCTTTGTAATTCTTGTAACTGGTTTTGTTTGTTTGGGCTTCTTTCATTTTTTTTAGGATCAAATTTTATATGTTTAACTGTTTTTAGTGTTTTACTGTTTTGTTTTATTTTTTAAACTATTTGAGGATCGTTGAACTATTTTTCTGTCGCGTAAACTGTTTTTTATCAGTTTCAACTGTCTTTGACTGTTTTTAACAGTTTTTAACTGTTTTCAACTGTTTTGACTGTTTTTACTGAATTTTGACAGTTTTTCGTTGTTTTTCTAAGTTTTCATCAGTTTTTTTTAGTGTTTTTCTGTTATTTTTTTAGCTTAACTGTTCTTATTTTTTTTTTACTGATTTCACTGCATAGATCCTATATCTGATCAATCTTATTTTTTTTTTGAAATGGCAGCTTTGTACGAGAGAGATTACAGAGAGCTTAAAGAGAAGTACGATAAACTAAGTTTTGAGCTTAAAAAGAATATATCATGGATAATTCGTTTGACTGACTATAATGAGAGAGAGACAGAAGAAAAGAGAGTTTTGCAAGAAAAGCTGAGTGATCTGATGAAAACTTGTGTTAATCCAGAAGAGACAGTTAGGTTAAACAAACAGATTGAGGACTTAACAACTATAATGCATAAATCTGAAAGTGAATTGTTTGATGTAAGGAAGTTACTGGATTTCGAGAAAGAAAAGGTTTTAGAAACTGAAAAGAGATTTGATGCTGAAAGGAAAGTGTTTGAAAGCAAGATAAAAACATTAGAGTTGAATGTCATTTTGCTTTCAAAACAAATATCAGGTTTTGAACAAGTTATCATCTTGGAACTATCCAAGTTTGATAAAGAGAAGAAAGAGTATGAAGAAGAATGCCAAAGAAAGAATTTGGAATTGTCTGACAGCATTGTTCAGAAGAAGAAAGAATTAGATGAAGAGAAGAAAGTGTTTGTTCTTGAAAAGAAAAACACTGTCAAGAAAAATGCTACAATTGCCAAAGAGCTTACAGAGAAAAAGAAATGGCTTGACATTGCTTCAGAAAATGAGAAGGGAAGTTCAGACGAAGAGAGAAAGGAATTTGAGAAAGAATGTAGAGTTTTTGAAAAGTCAAAGAAGGAATTAGAAGGTAAGTTTTTGGATACTGCAAAGAGATTGTCTGATCTAGAGACAGAACTTGTAACTGAACAGAAAATGAGAACTGAACTTAAAGAGAAGTTTGATTTAGTTGTTGTCGAACGAGACCAGCTTTTACAGAAAGTTAAAGACTTTTCGTGTGCTCAAAGCTCAACTGGTTCTCCTTCTTAGTGTAAAACCAGCTTTTATGACTGTTTCAAATTGAACAGTTATTCAAGTAGTCCTAAATCTGCTGTTTCTAAGAACTATTCTCGTTCTTCTAATCAGTATTATGAAGGGTATGTCATTGGATCACCCAATTACTCTTCAAAGGTTAAAAGCATTTGGGTCAATAAGTTTGAATCTGTTTTATCTCAGAACTCTGTTGTTACTAACAATCTTCCTTGCTTTGTGAGATCCACTTCTGATTTGATTCATCTTAGCAAGAGAAAAATCATGTGCTCCACATGCAAATCAACAGATTTTGTAAACAAGAAGACATCCAACAGATGGAGTACAGACAACAGAGATCAGAAGGACTGGAAAGGTAAGAACAGGTATGATTATAATAACTGGCATGGATCATATTATGTATATAATCATCCTGTTAATAGTGCTGAAAAGAAAATATCTTATAGAAATAAATGGTTTGGAAATTTCAACATACCCCAATCCTATACTAACAAAATAGGACCCAAGTTCGTTTGGGAACCAAAATCTACTTAATCTGGTTTTGCAGGTGTGTCAATTTTGTGCTGATCAGAATATCATTTCAGTGATACACCAATGCAGGGGGAGTTGTAATTTATTCCAAATAAGGCTTCTGAACATTTCAGTTCAGGACCCGTGCTTTACCGAGTGTGGTTTCTAAACACACAGTTTAGAACCCGTACTTAAAATGTTTTCTTCAATTTTTTTTTTAGCTTAACTGAATCATTTCTATAATCTACTTTCTAGGGGCAGTCTCTAGAAAGTTCAATAAATATTTTTGGAAAATGATTTTTTTTGTAACGAGTATATTTTCTAAACAGGTATTTCCTGAGATTTTACTTGTGTGATTTCTTGTCGTACATAACTCCAATACTTGTTTCATCTATTCTTCAAACTGTTATTATCACGTCTCTTATACGAAAATATTTTTCGGTGATAATACACTCGTTTGTATTCAAATATTGTTTTTCTGATATTTTTTTCTTTGACTGATATACATTCATTCATTTTTTTATCAGAATCTGTAAACTTGTTCTTACAGATCTTCATTCATTTCTCTTATATATACCAAATAATCGGATCATTGTCGCATCATTCTTTCGTTAATTGTGCTTAAAGCCAAATTTCTTGATCAATTTTTTATCTGATCATTGTGCTTTAAAGAAATAATATTCTGATCAACCATTGTGATCAACTGAGCATACTATTTTAGGAGGGACTGAGTGCTTATCAGAAAT